CTCTTTTCTGCAAAAAGTCATCCACTGTTCTTAAGCAGTCTACAGTTACACCGACATTGTGCCCCGGAAAAAAGAGGTCACGCTTCGGGAGATCCCCGAAAGCGATCGCATCAACGCGTTTCTTTAACGAGGGTAATTTCGGAGAATCGCGACATCGCGATCTATCTGCGTCTCGCTCCGATTCTCTCCTACTCGTGTTCTCGATCCGTGCGTGTACACGCTTACACGCGCGTAATGCGAATTTTTGCGCCTCTCTCCGTGAGAAGAAACTCGCACGGTAAGACGCTGATATATCGTGTCGGAAAGGGGGAAGGCAGGGGGAAGGAAAAGGGGGAGGGGCAGCACCACGGATACCCCAGTACTGGATACGAAATCCACCCGTATATATATGTATGTATTGTACATATATTTGCGCGCAAGTGTACGGTGTACGCATGGATGACTGGGAACCCCATTCCATCCCGATGCGGACGATCTTGATCGCGAATGTCGACGACGATCGTGAGATCGAGGCGGGAGGAGAAACGGAGAACACCCGTGAACGCGGGGCCGATATCCGCGTATAAATCGCTTCCTTCGATTCCGCGGGAAGAATCCATCCCTCCTTTCTAAACGGGAGACTCGGTGTCCCCTATATTAGATCCTATTACGCGAGTCTCATCGCTTCCTGTGCAATTACCGGATCGTCTTTACATATATCGTGCAAGGTTCGCAGGCTGTTCAAGTTCGGAATTTCTTGCATATTTAATCGTTTCTTTTCCGGAATGTTTAACTAGCACTCGAGACGTATGCTATTTAGATATACTTGAATATATTAAATTCTTTTTTTCCTAAACTTGTGTGTGAATTTTTAAATCGTTATTAATTACATATATAAAAAAAAAAAAAAATTTGAAAGGTCTTTGAAATCGGCGTGAAAATTAATCTGGAAGAATCTCGACCGTTCACACATTTCGAATAAAATAATGTTTTCAAATTCAAATTTATACTACATTTTAATAAATCATCAAAGATTTCAACATGACGATAAATTACACGATTTCATAAGCGCTTCAGTTTTTTTTAAAGAGAAGCACACAAGTGAAAAACATACATATGCATCGTCGCGCGTGCTAACTGTTAAGTGGCATTGTTAAGCGCCTTGATGAGCACAGGATTGTAAATTCCCAGCATATATTTTCACATAATAGGAATCTTTCGCACGAAAGCTATTTCAAACAAACATCTCGCTACCGTTCGTTTGTCCCGTGTCCGTATCGACCGCTGCGATAATTATGCTAGGATTTACAGTTGCAACTGGATCCGAAAAGAAAATTCACCGTGGATAACGGTCGAGATGAAAAATTCTCACCTAGCTTCCGCGCGCGCGAAATACGCTTCGTTAATTAAATTGTCGTATAGTTTTCACCATTCATCCTTACCAATTAGTGCCTCCCATTCGTGATCAATCGCGTAGATCATTTCTGGGAAAGAGAATGAGCGCGCGCGTGAATCGTCGGAAACATTGACCCGACATTCGCCGTCAGACCGAAATATCCGCGGGTCCGGTTGATATTTATAAGCGCGGTAAGGCTTATTAATTAAGCGCGAAAGTCAGCGACCGGCGCAGCTGTTAATGACCACGTGGAAAATCGCGCGTGACGCACTTCGCCGCATTCACAGAACCAGTGCTGAACGAGTCGAAGAACGTCGTTTTCCAACGGGAATCTTGCTCCCGGAAAGTGATTCTCGAGTCGCGGTCAGTTGTGATAAGCAAATGTTTTAGTGATAACGGTGACACAGTTTCCGAATCTAAATTTACTATATTTTGTGCGGAGAATCTTTATCACCAAATTTTCAATGACTGCTCATTTTTACAATTAAATATTTTTATTTGTATCGATCAATTCAATGGCCCGTTGAAAGATATCATTAACTGACAGAATTAGTAATTATAAATGATAAATTTTCCTTAGAATACTTTTAAAACCAATGTGTTTTATAAAGGCTTAAGGCACATACATAAATAGATGCATAATGAGATGATCGGAAAATAAACACGATAATCTGTAATTATATATTCTTTGAAGATACATCCCATAGGTAGAACTTTTCAGAGATTTAAGTTCTTCTTTAAGTTAGCCCCGAGGAATAGATACGTTAAACTCACGCCAGTCTAGTTTTTCGCGGAATCGGCGACGAGTCGTTTCCCTCCCGTGGGAGACGATTATCTCCTCAAGTGAACCATGCGCGTTCATATACATACTTTCACGTGCGTACGTATATATAATCGCGTCTTCCCGCGAGGCTCGTCGTTGCAGGAAGAGGCGCGTATATAATCTGTCGCGAAACGGTTAAATCCGTGCAGCGATTCCACGAGCGTAACATCCCGATGCGCGCTCGCGCGAGCGTAGAATGACACGACGCAAAACATCTGTGTACGCACGCACGCACGCACGTGCACGCGAGCGTGTCGCTGACGGGCCGGGCGGGCTCTTCTTCGCTGTTGCCTTTATACGGTCCGTCGCGGACCGCGTGATCGAGTGATGATGCGGAGCGAAGCCGTTCTCCGGTGCCCCTTCCGGTCTCCGGAAGACCTTGCGCGAAAATATCGAAGCTACACGACTCTCTACTGCTAATCTCCAATTTCCGTAAACGATATAACGGACGATATCACGCACGGATTCGCGGAAGACGAAAATGTAATAATATATGCTCTCTCTCTCTCTCTATATATGTATATATCAGGTCTACCGAGGCTGTTCAAGTTCGGAATTTCTTGCATATTTAATCGTTTCTTTTCCGGAATGTTTAACTAGCACTCGAGACGTATGCTATTTAGATATACTTGAATATATTAAATTCTTTTTTTCCTAAACTTGTGTGTGAATTTTTAAATCGTTGACTATTAAGATTGTTAGATGTTCGAATCTGTGGATTTTTTTTTCCTAGAGTTCTTTCTATTTTAAATTCTTAAATGTGTATTTCTTTGCTTAGTATAGTATATTATTTCGATTTGTATAGAACCTTCGAATCTTTAAGTCCTAGCATTTTTCCGTTATTAAAAAAATATTCGCATCTTTAAAATATTGAATCTCTAAAAATCTGGAATTCTTAAAAATATACGATTGTATAAGTTTAAAACGTTATATGAAAGTGTTTCAAATGAAGTGCAGTACTTTAGAATTCCAAAATGTAATATATTCATGATCGCTTATATATTAAGAATGTTAACAAGAAAGTACTAATAAAATTTTTCATAATCCAGCGCGATACAGTCGACGCTAAAAAAAAAGAAAAAGATGCAATTGCGCCGCATTCTCCGTACAAAATTCCCTGTTTGCATAATTTCGCTCGAATATCGAAAATAATGTTGAAGCAATAGCGGCGGCATAACAGCAACAGCAATAATGTTTGTCGGTTTCTTCATTTTTTCTTTTTTTCGCGCGCTGCTTATTAGCTAATTGTAAGATATTAGCTAAGATATCGGCGCTAATTCACATTGCGTCGAATCAAGATTACGAATCGTTTATTATATGTTTTAAGGAGGATTACGAGGGGTCCGATGTCCGTTCTTTTACCGGACGTATAAAGGAATCCGCGATCAAAATTTTCCGCGATGCGATACGTTTCAATAGGATATCGATAAAAACTTCAAAGGACACGACACGTTAAGACTATATAATACACACTGGTGACAAAATATATAAATTCTTTTATACATTTTTATATACAAAGATGTTAATATAATAATCATTTATTACGATAAAAATACACGGAGCGATTAATTTCACGATCTTTATTTTCTTAAGAGAATGTTTTTTTATTATCTTTTTTTTTAACAAAATTTTTTGGAGGTTTATTTGATTCTGTAAGGCTTATTATAAAATGTGAAATTTTGCAATTTTAATATTGTTAATTTTCATATTATTATTATTATATTATTGTATGTAAATAATTAATCAACGATTAAAATTCATAAAAAACGAGCAAAATATTCATAAAATAAATGAATAAACCTTGATCTTGTTATCCGAACTGTGTGGTGCTGAGTGTGAATCGGTCTTTAAACGGTTTCGTAACGTCGGGTCCAAAGGTCACAAAACAACGACGGGGATGTTACTGCGCGCCGATCGTTCCGAATCGGCTGGTCGCGGGAAGAACATCGCCTTTTTACCGCGTTAATTAATTGCGAATTTCGGTTTGCCCGCATCGAGTCGCGCGGGATGGCCGGCCCTCCCATTAGAGCTTAAAAATAATTGAACTGGATTCCAGCGTGTCAAACGCGCACAGGCGCACCGCGCATCGGTCCTTTTCATTTCGTTCATTAGTCATTGACCGTTAGTTTCGCCGATTAATAAGTCCGTAAGCGGCCTCGGAATCTTTTTGCCCTATTAAGATCCAAAGTATTTTTATTGAGCAACATCAAGATATCAGATCTTAATTGTAATAATAGTAATGATAATAATAGAGCTAGCTTAGATTTTAGTGATCTTTCCGAATGTCAAAGAAAAGTGATAATTACGAGTCATAGCGACTTACCGGTGTCCCTGGTACGAAGTCTTGACGAGTTTCACCGCAAAAAGGAACTGTATGGCGCAAACCAATAGGCAACATAAGTTGAGCGATAGGGCGAGAGCGCACAACGCCAGGGTGACCTCATAAACAATGACAAACTCCTCCGGACTAATGAGACTGTTGGACGTGACCGTAAGCGGCGAGATTTTCAACAGGAAGATAACCGAGAGCAGGGCCAGAAGTAGAGACACTAGACACAATAGTCCGAGGCTCGTCAGCATCTCCTTCACGCCTGCTTCGTCGTTCCGATGGAGATTCCTGGACAGGGACGAGGACCAGGAGGCATTGAGGGGTATCACCGTCGGTCCGCCAGCTACCTGACCGGCCACGACAGGAAGCGCAGGTGCGGCAGGTGCGGGTGACGGCGTGGTCTGGCTCGGCAACCGCGACAGCCTGGAGATGTCGAGACCGCCGTTCGCCTTCGGCCGATCTTGATGTAAGGCGCTCGTTTGCGAGATGACGGTATGGCCCAGCTGACTCGCGACCGAAATGTTGTTATGGTTGTTATTATTATTGTTGGCGCCATTATTGTTACCATTAGCGCCGGCTACCGGACTGACGCTGTTGACCGAGTGCTTGGAGGTCGACAGCGTCGACACATTGAGTGCGTGCGAGTGGTTCAAGCGTTGCGACAGATTGTTGACGCTCAGCTGGGAATGATTCAACGGATGCCGGTGCGTCGATGATGGCGTCGTCGCCGATTGATGCGCGTTCGACACCGTCGATCTCTGCACCACGGAGTCGTACACATCGATTCCGCCGTTGTTACCGCGATGTCCGGCGACACCGCCGCGCGTCGTCCCGGTACCTCCGGTGTAATGATGATGGTGGTGATGCTGTTGCGACTGCGGCTGCTGCTGTTGCGGCTGCTGCTCCTGGTGCAGCGAATTATTGTGCAAATGGTGATGATGGTGCCCGCCGTGCAACGAGCCCGAGCTCGTTTGATAATCATTGTGATGCCTGGAGCCCGTTGACGACGGCTGCCCCGTCAAGATGTGCTTCAGCATTACTCGACACTCGCTGGTGTCACGCGGGATGAGGCTTCTTCTCTTTTCTTCCCAATGCCGATGATCCTCACATGACGGCTACGTGACGGAAGAAACTACTGAATTACACCGAGTCATAGTACATTAATTATTAACTTTGATCTTCCTCAGATTAGATTCGTCATATCGTTTCCAAGTCACACTAACACGTAATACGTCAACTTTATTCTTTTCAATATTGACGGTAATAAATATTTGTATTTTGTTTTATTCCAAAAACGGACAGAACTTTCCGGTAGACCTAATATATGAAACCTGCGGTATTTTCAGTATCTAGACAGGATATATTTAAATATATATATATATATATATTTAAAAAATGATTTATCAATTTTTCACAGGCACCTTTTTTCGGATTTTATTCGCAATTTTACGAGTTTGAGTGGCGCGCGCGATTTGATAATAATTTGATTTAATTTGATTTGATTTAAAATGATTTACGTTTTTACTCTTTCTCTATTTTTCAAGAGAACCTCGAGCGATCATGGCGGATCGTCGACCGGTTACATCCGCATAGCTCCGCGGCATCGGCATCTCCGCGGTCGCGAGAACGGTTACACCAGATGATGGATCACGCGCTGATCATACGCGGTCCACGGAGCCGCGATATCCCCGCCCCCGTCGTCCTTCCCGATCCGCGGTCCTTTTTCCCTCCTCTCGCGCCGACAGGTGTTCGTATATATAATCCGTGTCGCGGTTGGCGAATAAAAAGAAAAAGAAAAAAAAAAGAAAATAAAAAGATTCCCCGATGGCGTCCCGACAATATGACCGCGAGAAATTCCCGTCTCTCCTCGGGCACGCAGGCGGCCCGATACCGGGAAGAAGGGACTTAATGACGGAGGGCCCGGGGCTCATTTCCGAACGAAATTGAGGGTGCCCTCGCCGCGTCGCGACTTTATACCGGAGCGACAACCGTTACCGAGAGAGGCCTCCCGTCCTCCGCCTCCACCTGTCGCACCTGTTCGCTCGCATCTCGCTCGCGTCTCGTCCACGCGGCCATTGTCGGGTTTTACGACACGTCGTTCGAGAGACAGCGTGACCGATCGCTCTCGTCACTTGCCGCGATACGCGCCGATCATCTTGTTCCGTTCACGGCCGAGAATATTGCCGACATAATGTACGGCTGACGACGACGACGACAACGGGAGATCAACTATACGGTTGATCGATTGGTTCTTCTAAACGAGAAATATCTGTCATGCTCTGACAAAGTACCATCAAAGTGGCGACAATTCTTTTCCCTTTTACGGATATCACCCGAGTGTAAATAAATGAAATGAGATCGATTTATAAGAAACGTTGAAAAGATCTCACGAATCGTCACAAATATTTATATAAATACGACAGATTCGTTAAGTAAAATGGTCGAGAATCTCTCCAACTTCTCTCGCGATTGAGCTCCCTTCACATCCGAGAGATTGTAGCGGAGCGCATTAATTAACTCGAGTGTACCGAAGTTATACGCTACTTTGATGATGCTGACGGTGCGAATAATCGCTCCTCGAGGTTCTGTGTTTTGTCAAGGTATTGTGGATATAAATATCTCGTCAAGTGTTTGAACGCGAGAGAACTTGAAATGTACGCGTCTACCGGTATTTCGGAGAAGATAGTCCTGAGAAAAGAATGCAAGTCCAAAAGCTCATATTTTTTTTCGTCGAAAGTCTACAGGGACGTCGTCCAGAATACATATCAGTATACGAAGTTTAACACGTGAAAATTATTAAAGCAGGGAACACATATTTCTTATTCTTAATGCTTTTCTTAAATTTCCTGTACTTTTGATCGAGATGATATTATGTAAATAGTCTCTCAAAACGTAGCGCAAGTTTTTTTCTCTTCATTGCAAATATATTTTGATCCTTCGGAGAGATTACCCAAGAGTCGCGCCGATATAAAACGACATTTCATATTCATGCAACGACTTAATAAATATGTCAAAATCAATCGTTCTCGACGTGTTCTCCCCACCTTCTCAGAGGTACAGAGATACTCTTTTTCGTCGCCAAATTTATTTTCTTCACTTCCTACGTGCCTCCTAAACTTGAGGATATCTCCGAAAAGAGAAGGAGAGGGAAGAGAGCGGGCGGACACACGATAAGACGCGGGATTCAGAGGCCTCCCTGGAATGTCAAGTACTACTCGAGAGGAGCCGAATAACGCTGCTCTGCGAGCTTGGTTAACGTATACTCCGACGGAGACGGCTTATATCGGAGACATAAGCTGACGGGACATAAGCCAGACGCCGTAGAACCAGAGAGAACCAGAGCGAGGGCCGCGCGTGTAATGATATCAAAGATATATGTATATAAGGAGTGTTTTTACCGGCGCAGATAAGGTTTCCTCGAGCGAGGGGGGAGGGAGAGAGGGTCCTCGCAATTCGATATCCGATACGCCGATCGATGCAAACATCGGAGATTGCGTAAAGGAACAAATTCTCCGAATGATCGCCGTTCGGTCATTCGTGCTCCAGTCACTTCTCTCTTCATTCCGCTGCGCGTCAATGTTTCACAATGAAATATATTGCTCATTAAGGTTGCAAGTTCGTCGTTTCATAACACGCGATTCGTTGATTTCAATCTTTAGGCCTAATTTCTACCTTCGTTATCTTAAAGCCGTAAAGGCGCATCATTTATCGCGAACGGCTCTCGAGCCGGAAATACCTTCTCGTCGTCTTCCGTAATTAATTCCTTAACAGCTAGGAGAAGTACGTTTATATGTGCGAACCACAGGGCTTATGTGGGCGCTACGTTCCCGGGCTCAGCGAGTTGCTGCACACCAGTTGCTCCACCATGGCGACGACATCCACCAGACGGCGGTTCTCTCACATATCGGATTCGCAACGCGGAACTATGCGACGACAACGTGCTTCGTTAAGGGCATGATCCGCGAGTCGGTCCGCGAAGGGAGTCCTCTCTTACTCTCTCGCTCTCCTTCTCTTTATCGAGGCAAAACGATGCGGTCGGTCGGTCGTGCGTGCGTGCGTTAAGGCGGTTGCAAGCTCGGTTTTCTACCACCTCGGTCTTCTCGTCGGATACGCGCGAGCTCGTCAGCCGGCATGGCTCCCGAGATGGTGCCGGCGGTGCCTCTGAAACAGGTCGGAGGAAATAATTAATGGACTGACTGTTCACTCTCTCTCTCTCTCTCTGCACTGTCGGTCGGAATAGTCGGACCGTAAAAAAGAAGGATAGATACGGGGTATAATCTACCCGGAGTGTGGCGGCGAAGCTCAGAAAACATTTCTCTCTCTCGGCTTTTCTCAAGTTTTGTGCGAGACGAAACGCGATTAATCACACGCGAGGATTTTCATTTCAAAAAACAAAATTTAAAAAATTTTTATGTGGCTTCAATGTATAAGGAGGAAAATCGCAATGATTTAGCTAGAATTCAGCTAAAAGCTATAGTTTAAATGGAAATTGTAAAAGAATCTTTTCGCAAGAGCGAACAAGCGAGAGTACCTTTCAAGTACTGACAAGTAAAGAATTGTTTCGTTTTAACAGACTGTAAAGCGATCGCATCGTGACGGAACGTTTTATAGCGCAACTATTTCCTTAACGACTAACACATAATATAACGCTAAAAAGTTCTGGGATCAAAGCTATTGTCGCAATTTTTTTCCAGCACACATCTCAATCAGAGCGTAAACAGCTTTTCAGGTTTAATGTTCGTTTTATAATTCCACAACATCTGCTTTTTCAATTGTTTAACTAATCGTATCTCGTTACTTTTGCGACATCTTTTTTTGCAACAGTCATATATAATAAATTTCTTGAAATTTTTGCTCGCAAAAAATATTTTATTCTTCGCGTATAAAACTCGAAAGCGTGTTAAATGCATAACGAACCCTATCAAGATTAGAAATCCCGAGAATCCCAGCGGCATAATTAGAAAGATCTCACGGTGGTGCGCGTAACACTTAGACCAGACGATGACCTTTAGCGGTGCACGCGCTTGCGGAAAGGCCGCGATGCGAAGCGAAGTGCGGCCGGCGTGCATATATCTGATCGCGACGCGAGGAATATCAAGACAAATTGCCGGTCATTGCACGAGATAAGCAAAATGGGGGGGGGGGGGGGGAAACTGGGCGATGTAGCGGCGATCTACCGGGACACAATCGCGCCGATACATACTTTGTGTTTACATTACTTTGTGTTATTATTATCACTTTCAACGACCGCGTACAGGACTCTCTCCCGGGTGCTCGTTCATAGATATTGTTCATACATTTCCTCTCACTCGGCACGAGCGGGTCACGCGAGCTCCTCTCTTTACTTATCTAATGGATTATATGTAGAGATATCTATACTACTCTGTATCTTGAAATTGCAATTAGAAATCCACCCATGAAATCAAATGCGGTATTAAATGTGTTAGTTACATCAGATTATTCATTACAAAATTATTGAATTATTGAATTGTATAATATTTATATGTTATACAATTTGAATCATTTTTAATGAATAATCTCTGTTAAATTAAATCAATTGGATTTCACACAATTCAAGCTTTATATTGTTAGAATATCGATTCAAAATTTAATTATCCAAATATTTAATTTATTAAAAAATTAAGATACGCAGAAATAATAATTAATTTTTAATTTTTTAAAGAGAAAATAGATTCTAAATGCGTCAAAGAAATGTTTCATACAATTAAAGACAGTTTTACGATGTAATTATAATAGTATATACGCACACAATCCATCGTCCTACATCTTGTTAGAATAATAAAAGTAGCTTCCGATCATGTATCAGTAGGTATTAACGAAGCTAAGTAAAATACAAAAACAAAATAAAAGCGCGAAAACAAGCAAAAAAAAAAAAAAAGAGTCGTCGTGTCAATCTATGGCACACAACACAACGATTAAATGGATGATATGTACTGAGCATGCCGTTATACACTGCGAACTATGAAGAGACTGTCATTCCGGATCGATAAACTCGATTGTGACGTCGCGTGAAAAAATGTACTCGCGCAGAGTGATTTTTTTCCATATAAAAAATATTTTTGTTGAATATATTCCTTGTGTCGTACTTTTTTGCGTATTCCAAAACAAACAAGGAAAATTGACTTTAATAAAATTACTTTTAATCGTTGTGTATATAGTATATATATTACTTTGCATTATTCTTAAATAATCGCTTTGAGAACTTGAATTAAATTTATTTCTCTTTGTAAC